CTACTGCTGAACGCAAGTTTTCTGCGTTCAAAAAAAAGTCTTTAAAATCAATTGCCTATAAACGACTGTAAACGACATAGTGTACATGGACACATACAGTAGAAAAACATTAGGGAGAGTTCAGGGGCTGCTGAAAAAAATGCTGAACAGCTCCTAAAAGTGAGTTTATCAGCTGCAGTGTACATGAGCCCGAAAGGAAAACAATTCTGAAAAAAAGCTGATCAAGCTCCCACATCTATGGACTGATAAGCTGTGATAAATACAATCTGTGTTCATGGGTTTACTGTAGGTGCACCTAAAGGGGGGAGTAAACTTTCTTGATTGATTTTTACCTATAGGTAAGCCTATAATAAGGCTTACCTATAGGAATATTAAATATCTCCTAAATGTGCACCGTTTAGGAGATATTTACTGTAGAAGCACCGGTGACATCATTGGTGCATGCGCACTGAAGGAACGGCTCAGAACCCTGTGCCATAAACAGTGACTCCCACACGCATGTGCACGAACAATGTCATCATACCGCCGAAGCCCACAAACTCAGAAGGAAGACCGGGTATAGATGAAAGAGCCTACAAGGGTGACAGCGTGCCACTGATGGGCTTCATTTTCAGGTACGTCTGTCACAATGTGCTGGTATGCACTGCATAAAAGTACATGGTGAGTTAAACTGCCCGGGGCTCCATTTTTTTTTTGCTGTGGTAGCACACTACTATCATTATGAAAAAAAAGTTACAGAGCTTTCTATGAAAAAAGTTCCATGTTGTAGGTATCTTTCATTTCTAAAGCTGGTCATACACATGGCAATGAGTGATCAAATAGGTTTTTTTTTTGCCAAAATCGCAAAGCTATCAGAGACATAAAATAGTCACTTTGACTGACTTCAAGGAGATGGGATGGAAAATGCCACTAGTGAACCTAAATCTGAAACCAGATTGCTTTGAAAAAATGCCTCTTTTCTTATTTCAATTCTTCAAAAAACTGTATTGCAGCTGTCGATTAATTGCCCATTTTCAGATTTACAATGACACTAATACAGTGATCAGTGCTAATGAAAAGCACTGATCAGTTTTCCTTCCTTGGACCACTTTTGGTAGGTCCTGGCCACAGCAGGCTGGGAACATCCCATAAGAGCTGCAATTTTGCATATGCTCTGACCAAGTTGTTTAGCCATTACCATTTGGGCATTGTCAAAGTTGCGTCAAATCTCTACGCTTGCCCATTTTTTTCTGCTTGCAACACATCAACTTCAGGGACCACATGTTCACTTGCTGCCTAATACATCCCACCCACTTTCAGGTGCCATTGTCACAAGATAATGAATGTTATTCATTTTACCTGTCAGTAGTCATAATGTTGACTGATCAGTGTACATACCTTTGGAGAACCCGCTAAGGTTTGGTGAGAGGGTTGCTATCTTACCTGTGAATTCTCCTTGGAGTTCCCATAAGCTCTGACATCTGCTGCAACATTTTACAAGGAACATAAAACCAGCCATATCAATCCCTTGCTCTAAAGCTTACAGTCTAATGCCCCTTCTATAATCCATTATCCATTGATACAACTGTGACATAACCTGCAGAGAACAACTACACAATGCCTGTTCCATCCCATGTTACAACTACAATACACACAGGAGCGTTAGCATACTAGAACATGTTACAGGAGATCAAGGGAGATTTGGATGCAGGGGGGTGGTGGTAGATTTGGCTGTAAGGTATGGAGGTAGCTTTAGCTACAAGAAAAGGAAGTAGATTTGAATATAGGGCGATGGGGATTGATTTGACTTCAGAGGATGGAGGTAAATTTGAATGCTGCGGATAGAGGTTGATTTGGTTTTAGGGGATGGTGCTAAGTTTTGGGGCTGCGCTACTCTAAACGCTTGTCCTGAAAATATGGATTTTAGTGCAAATAAAGTATCATGGGCAGTACTACTCAATTTTTTTGTTAAAAAGTGCACTACAATGGCTACAATTACCTCAAGGGTGGAGGTGAATATGGCTACAAGGGATGGAGGTAGATTAGGCTGCAGGGAATGGAGGATGGTTTGACTTTAGTGGATGGAGGTTGATTTGATTTTTAGATGATGGAAGTAACTTTGGATGCAGGGGATGGAGGGGAATTTGGCAAGTAGACTTGGCAACAAGGGATGGAGGTTAATTTGGCTGCAGGGAATCAAGGTTTATTTATCTGCAGGGGGATAGGGGTTGATTTGGTTTCAGGGATTAGAAGTAAATTTGGAAGCAGTGGATGGAGATTGATTTGGTTTTAGGGGATGGAAATGAATTTGGCTGCAGTAGATGGAGGTAGACTTGGCTACACAGGATGGAGGTAGGTCTGACTACAGGGGATACATGCCGGATAAGTTATGTGAGGACATAGAGATGAGTGGAGTTATTTTGCTAACTGCTTAGGTGATAATCACTTTTGTATTTTTTCACAACCCTGATATAGCAAACACATGACTTTGTTTATAAACAAAGGTTAGCATTGGTGTTTCCCTGTTCCTGAAAATCTAACCTCAGGTTGCCAACTAATGGAGGCATTTCTCAGCAGAAGAATGGGTTCACATTTTTTTTAAAAAGAGCTTGGATAACCCTTAGGAGCCATTTAAAGTCTATTGCACTCTTAAAAAACACATTGATCCTTCCTTTTCTATTGACTCCAATGCATTTGCCAAATGGCAAAATGCTAGCAAATTGTCCAGATTCCATCCAAAATGTTAGTAGCAACAATTCTTAATTTCACTCCTCCCTAGTGATGATAATGTATTGAGGGGGGAAAGCTGCTGGAGGTGCAAGGTCCAGGAACTACAAGCTCTTCCTCTTGAGATATAAATACAAAATATCATACCTCTTTGAATGTAGTTCACCTTTATTATCTTTGAAAAGGTTGCTCCTTCACTCCGGGTAAAATTACAGTTGTAATTAATAACAGAGAGGCAAGACTGTGTGATGCTGGGGTCAGAGTGTATATACTGCAACTTCCATCACTTGTCTTGGTCCCTGCAATTCCTGTTGAGAATTATAAAATGTATATATAGACAAGTTATGTTTTCTTACACACTTTTCGTAAAAAGACTTCCAGAAGAAATCCATTCAAACTTAACTACAAAGAGATTGACAACAAAAATTGGTCAAAATATATATACAGTGCCTTGAAAAAGTATTCCTAAACCTTGAAATTTTCCACATTTTGTCATTTTACAACCAAACGTATATGTGTTTTATTAGGATTTTATGTGATAAACAATCACAAAGTGGCACATAATTGTGAAGTGGAAGGAAAATTATAAATGGTTTTCAAAAATTTTTACAAATAAATATCTGAAAAGTGTGGCATGCATTTGTATTCAGCCCCCTTTATGCTGATAACCTTAACTAAAATCTAGTGGATCCAATTGCCTTCAGAAGTCACCTAATTAGTAAATAGAGTCCACCTGTATGTGATTTGATCTCAGTATAAATACAGCTGCTCTGGGAAGACCTCAGAGGTTTGTTAGAGAACATTAGTGAACAAACAGCATCATGAAGGCCAAGGAACACACCAGACAGGTCAGTGATAAAGTTGTGGAGAAATTTGAAGCAGGGTTAGGTTTAAAAAAAAAAATCCAAAGTTTTGAACATCTCACAGAGCACTGTTCAATCCATCATCCAAATATGGAAAGAGTATGCACAACTGCAAACATACCAATACATGGCCGTCCACCTAAACTGACAGGTCGGGCAAGGAGAGCATTATTCAGAGAAGCAGCCAAGAGGCCCATGGTAACTCTGGAGGAGCTGCAGAGATCCCACAGCTCAGGTGGGAGAATTTGTCCAAAGGACAACTATTAGTCGTGCACTCCACAAATCTGGCCTTTATGGAAGACAGACAAGAAGAAAGTCATTGTTGAAGGAAAGCCAAAAGAAGTCCCTTTTGCAGTTTGCGAGAAGCCATGTGGGGGACACAGCAAACATGTGGAAGAAAGTGCTCTGGTCATTGAACTTTTGGTCTAAAAGCAAAACACTATATGTGGTGGAAAACTAACACTGCACACAGGGGCGGACTGACAACTCATGGGGCCCCCAGGCAATAGGGCATCATGGGGCCCCTGTGTCCTTGCCCATACTCAAAAAAGCCTATAAAAAAGGTACCAGGGGCATCTCATGGGGCCCCCTACTGACCCCGAGCCCTCGGGCAGTGCCCGAGTTTCCAAATGGTCAGTCCGACCCTGACTGCACATCACCCTGAACACACCATCCCCATCGTGAAACATGGTGGTAGCAGCATCATGTTGTGGGGATGCTTTTCTTCAGCAGGGACAGGGAAGCTGGTCAGAGTTATGGGATGGGAAGATGGATGGCAGCCAAATACAGGGTAATCTTAGAAGAAAACCTGTTAGAGTCTGCAGAAGACTTGAAACTGGGGCAGAGGTTCACCTTCCAGCAGGACAACGATCCTAAACATACAACCAGAGCTACAATGGAATGGTTTAGATCAAAGCATATTTATGTGTTAGGATGGCCCAGTCAAAGTCCAGACCTAAATCCTATTGAGAATCTGTGGCAAGACTTTATTTTGCAAAGAAAAATGGGCACAAATTTTACTTTCTAGATGTGCAAAGCTGGTAGAGAAATACCCAAAAAAGCTTGCAGCTGTAATTGCAGGGAAAGATGGTTCTACAAAGTATTGACTAAGGGGGCTGAATACAAATGCACGCCACACTTTTCAGATATTTATTTGTAAACAATTTTGAATACCATTTCTCATTTTTCTTCCACTTCACAATTATGTACCACTTTGTGTTGGTCTGTCACATAAAATCCCAATAAAATACATTTACATTTTTGGTTGTAACATGAGAAAATGTGGAAAATTTCAAGGGGTATGAATACTTTTTCAAGGTACTGTATATACACTATATTTGCCAAAAGTATTGTGACACCCCTGCAAATCATTGGATTTAGGCGTTCCAATCACCTCCATGGCCACAGGTGTATAAAATCAAGCACCTAGGCATGCAGACTGCTTCTAAAAACATTTGTGAAAGAATGGGTCGCTATCATGAGCTGAATGAATTCAATTGGTACCGTGATAGGTTGCCACCTGTGCAATAAGTCCATCCGTGACATTTCCTTGCTAATAAATATTCATCGGTCAACTGTTAGTGGTATTATAAGAAAGTGGAAGCAACTGGGAACAACAGCAACTCAGCCACAAAGTGGTAGGCTACGTAAAATTACAGAGTGGGGTCAGCGCATGCTGAAGCACACAGTGCGCAGAAGTCGCCAATTGTCTGCAGAGTCAATAGCTAAAGACCTCCAAACTTTGTGTAGCCTTCAGATTAGCACAACAACAACAGTGCATAGAGAGCTTCATGGAATGGGGTTCCATGGCCAAGCAGCTGCATCCAAGCCTTACATCACCAAGTGCAATGCAAATTGTCGGATGCAGTGGTATAAAGCATGCCACCACTAGACTCTAGAGCAGTGCAGACGTGTTCTCTGGAGTGACCAATCATGCTTCTCTTTGGCTGACAATCCGATGGACATGTCTGGGTTTGGCAGTTGCCAGGAGAACGGTACTTGCCTGACTGCATTGTGCCAAGTGTAAAGTTTGGTGGAGGGGGATTATGGTGTGGGCTTGTATTTCAAGGGTTGGGCTTGGCCCCCTTAGTTCCAGTGAAGGAAACTCTTAAGGAGTCAGCATACCAATACATTTTGGACAATTTCATGTTCTCAACTTTGTCAGAACAGTTTGGGGATGGCCCCTTCCTGTTCCAACATCACTGCGCACCAGTGCACAAAACAAGGTCCATAAAGACATGGATGAGCAAGTTTGGGGTGGAAGAACTTGACTGGCCTGAGTCCTGACCTCAACCTGTGCAAAACACCTTTGGGATTAATTAGAGTGGAGACTGTGAGCCAGGCCTTCTCGTCCGACATCAATGCCTGACCTCACAAATGCGGTTCTGGAAGAATGGTCAAGCCTTCCCATAGACACACTCCTAAACCTTGTGGACAGCCTTCCCAGAAGAGTTGAAGCTGTTATAGCTGCAAAGGGTGGACCAACTCAATATTGAACCCTACGGACTAAGACTGGGATGCCATTAAAGTTTATGTGTGTGTAAAGGCAGGCATTCCAATATTTTTGGCACTATAGTGTGGTATATATATATATATATATATATATATATACACACACACACACATACATACACTGTGTGCGCAATTATTAGGCAAGTGAGTTTTTTTGCCAAATCAACATTTTTATGCATATTGTCCGACTCCAAGCTGTATAAACTTGAATGCTTAATTGATTTATGCATATCAGGTGATATGCATTTGTGTAATGAGGGAGGATGTGGCCTAAGGAGACCAAACCCTATGTCAAGGTGTGCAAAATTATTAAGCAGCTTCTTTTCCTCAGGCAAAATTGGCCCATTTCTTGGCCCAGAAAGAAATGTAAATGACTCTGAAAAGTCAAAATATGTAAAAAGTATTTCAGAGGGATGCAGCATTCTTGAAACTGCTAAGATATTGGGGTGTGGTCACAGAACCATCAACCGTTTTGTTGCAAATAGTCAACAGGTTTGCAAGAAATGTGTTGAGGAAAAAAAGACACAAATTAATTGCCAAAGATTTGAAAAGAATCAAACTTGAAGCTTCCAGGAACCCATTATCCTCCAGTGCTGTCATATTTCAGAACTGAAACCTACTTGTACTGTCCAGAAGTACATGGTGTTCAGTGCTCAGAGATATGGCCAAGGTAGGGAAGCCTGAAACCCGACCACCACTGAACAAGACACATAAGATAAAACGTCAAGACTGGGCCAAGAAATATCTGAAGACAGATTTTTCAAAGGTTTTATGGACTGATGAGATAAGAGTGACTCTTGATGGACCAGATAGATGAGCCTGTGGCTGGATCAGTAGCGGACACAGAGCTCCACTTTGACTCAGATGCCAGCAAGTGGATTTAGAGTTCTGGTATGGCCTGGTATTATTACAGTAATTAATTAATTATTTAATTATAATTTATTTGGATTCGTTGAAATTCATTGCTATTGTAATTCAGAGGTTCATATACAACTGATTACCTAAATGTTCATCCAAACTTTTATTTGTAATTATAAAAATCACACATGCCTAAACTGTAGCATATCAAGCCTCTAGCACTCTACACCAGTGACAGAACATGAAGCTCAAGAAGGAAGCCTCACAGCCCCCACTAGAAAATGTACGACAGTAAAAATGGAAAATACAGATGCAAACAGCCTATAGAAGGTGGGTGGAGCTGGGAACTCAATGGGAAGACGTCCATGGGATTCCCAGTGATAAAAGACACCAGTGCATATATCAACCTTATGGTATTCAAAAGTAGGACATTAGTTAAAGATGGACCTGTTTAAATGGGCATTTCTTGTGATAACACTTTATAGGGCTCAGTTCACTCAGCAACTGTTATGTTCAAATATATGAACTGAAAAATACGCTCATGAGAATAATGACCTTTATGACAATGAACAACTTAGTGAATAAAGCCCTATATAGTAACAAGGGGACTTGATCTTAGACAGTGTGCTTGAAATCAATGGTGAGAACCTAGTCTTGCTATTTACACTGCCCAACCGACTAAAGCCTTACCTTTGCTACACTAAGGTGCCCGGGCAGAACTGGTTCATCCGGATTGCTGCACTGAGATACCAGATTTCTCCAGCAACTGGCAATGCAGATGAAACCTATAATTGCAACAACCTATTTCAGTAAACCTCAAAACCCACTGAAGGGTTAACAAGATGCCCTATGATCACACAGAATTCACAGGCAAATTGGAATTTCTGTTTTACTTGGAAATCCTTAATATCACAATAATATAATCATTTAATAATAATATCATTTTGAGTTTATTAGCCCATTAAAAATTAAAATGATGAAGGGACCTTACCTGAAGAGTCACTCAGAGTCCATGTCACATTAAATTTACCGATGTCATCACTACAGCATGTCAGGCTAAATGCAGGGTCATCACAGTATGTGTCCTTTTCAGAGATTTCATTCAAAGAATAAATCTGTAATGTCTTAATTGTGTTGATGGTTGTGGTTAGATTTAGTGGTGTTCCACCAGTCGTGAGAGAGCAGGTATAACTACCTATAGGAAAGGGAAAATTCCAAAAAGTTTATATGTATCAGGAAACAGAAGATATTACCTAAGTGCTGAGTACATCTATGATTAGTCAAGAGGGACATGAGGAATCCATTTGTAATCCACTAATTTATTTACATCAAGACAAGCAGTGGGCAGACAAATCCATGGACCTGTTCACCTGAATCTGGATCAGGATAGGTTTTACTATTGTACCCTTAGACAGAGCCACCCCCCTCTTAAAGTAGAATTCAACTCTCTCAATCAAAAATCATTTTCAATCCTTATGCTTCTAGCATTAGTAAATAGATAGTAATGTATATTATATTTACTTGTTTTAAACATTTCTGTTTTACATTTCTTTAGCTGCTTTCTGGTCTAGACCAAAATTATGTCATACATCCCAGGAATCATTATTGGCCTTTTTTTCTTTCATCTGAAAAAGGGGAGGAGGGGCTTTCTCAGCTAAGCACACCCTCCTGCCTGCAGCCTGAGCTAAGGCCAAATTGATTCCAGGATGCAAATGCTACATTAACCAATTCAATACCGGGCAATTTTACACCTTCCTGCCCAGGCCATTTTTCAGGTTTCAGCGCTCTCACACTTTGAATGACAATTGCGCGGTCATACAACATTGTACCCAAACTAAAATTTTTTCATTTTCTTCACACAACTAGAGCTTTCTTTTGGTGGTATTTAATCACCACTGGGGTTTTTATTTTTTGCTAAATAAATTTGCTTTTTTTACAAAAAAAGACCGAAAATTTTGAAAAAAAAAAAACACGTTTTTCTTTGTTTCTGTTATAAAAGTTTGCAAATAAATACTTGTTCTTCATAAATTTAGCCCGAGATGTATTTCTACTACATGTCTTTGGTGAAAATAACCCAAATTAGGATGTATTTTTTAGTTTGTAGGAAGGTTATAGAGTTCACAAACTATGGTATAGATCTGAATATTGATCAATCCTGAAGTACTGACAGCCAATCTAATTTCTTGAGGTCCAAGAATGTCAGAATAGTACAGATATCCCCCAAATGACCCCTTTTTGCAAAGTAAACAGTCCGACGTACTTCATAAGAGGCATGGCGAGTTTTTTGAAGTTGTATTTCTTTTGTCATAATTTTTCGGAAAATGAAAAAATAAAAAAAAATTATTTTCACTATTTTTTATTTACATACTGTCACCAGTGCAGTACAGCGTCATCATATAACTGGCATGGCGGTGATCAGGGACACTGACTGGTGACAGTGTGGGAAAAAAAAAAAAAATTTTTTTTTTTATTTTTATTATTTAAAATTTTTTATTACATTTGTTTTTTTTTTTTTTTCATATTTCACTATGTCCAAAGTAGTACAATGTTACCATAGTAACATTGTACTACTTTGGGGAAGTGATCAGTATTTTTTTTTTTTTTTTTACACAATCTGCTTATAGCAAATAATTACTTTGCTATAAGGAAGCATTTACCTGAATGACATTGATTCATTCAGGGTTTTTTTTTTTTTTGTGCTTAGCTGTAATTTGGCCACAGCTAATCACATGACATGTGCATGTGATTAGCTGTGACCATTCACAGCTAGACACTAGTATACAATGGATGGCATGAATGAAGCCATCCATTGTATACAACTGTCATGTGACCTGCTGTGATTGGTCACAGCAGGTCACATGGTACCGGCAACAGGGGCCGGTACTCAGATCTGTCATCGGCCGTGTCCGAGGTACACGGCCGGTGACAGATCACGTCGCTGCGCGGCTCTGCAAGCGCGCAAACTGCGCATGTGCGGGAGGACGGACGCCATTCGGCCATAGGCCGGGCGTCAAATGATTAATTATCTGCCCTTACTCAAAATGGCTACAGCTAAAAATGCTAAGAGGGGATTTTTCAAAGTGATTTCTCAGCAAAATTAAGAAGGGAGACATGGGTGAATGAGTTTTCTTTAAATATTTAAATTGAATTAAATAAGTTTTTCAGGTGCAATTTAGGTCCTCTTTAAGATATGCCTGTCACAAACCTGGGCAGCTCAAATTTAGCACATGTTAACCATGCTTAAAGTGCACCTGTATCCAGAATATGGACATTAAAGCAGAAATTCAGTTTGCAGAACTCTATATATGTATATTTCCCTCTATTTACTATGCAGCTTTCTCTCCTTATTTCAAAATTTATCGAAGGTTTTCTACCTTAAAAGAAAGACAAATAAAGGCCACACAACCATCTTTGTTTTTTTCATCTGGCTCTACACTGTCCTGG